CATCGGCCCCGCATACAGCACAGCGTGGGGAGTCAGATCGACACGATGAAGAGTACGCCACCGCGCTGGTATGAGGGGGAACGTTAAGTCGGGCGTGTCTCCCTACAGGCGGACTTTGGCCGAAAATTCCAAAAATACTCAAAAATACTCATATCTTTCGACTATCTTTCGACTTTCCTTCTGTAGAGGGACAGGCCCGACTGAAGGGTAACGTCAGAGGGGTGGGCAGCTCAGAGGGGTGGGGAACATCGAGCTGCAATCGGCGATGCAATCGGCGATGCAATCGGCAATAGTCGGGGGCGCGCAAACATGGATTAGCGATCCACGGATTCGGCGCGCGGTCGCCAAATCCATGGATCGGAAGAGGTACCCTCCCCAAAATGCGGCCGGTCACGCCTCCCATGGAAACGGGACCCGTCGCTAATCCACGCCCCCTTGATCCATGTTTGCGCTCGCCTGAAGTAGGTCCCCTGAGCCTGCATCCCCCGACGAGCCTCGTCGCTTGCTGCTCGGGTCATAGCCGGCGGCCGCGCGGGAAGCTCCCGGCACCCCCGGAGACGCCCCTCGGCGAGCGCCGCAGCGGCCGAAAGGCGCACCCCGAGGCAGGAAGGCCACCGGGGAAGCGCGGAAGACCGCCGAAGACCTCGAGCCTCGAGACTTCAACCCGCCCCCCGAGCTGATCCCCCGCCCCCCAGCGTGGCCCCCGATCAGTGCGGGGCATCCGAGCGGCACGAGGAGGAGTCCGCCGCCGCGCTCGCGGCCCTGGGCGGGCGATCTGCGCTTCGCCCCTCGATGGCCACCTGGCCCTGCCCCTTTTTTAGAAGAGCGCCCTCTTCGGCCCACGCCCTGGCCCTCTTGTGCCCCACGCCACCTGGCCCACGCCCTTCTAGGCGAAGTACCTCGGGCTCGTCCCTTACCTCTTGTGGACCTGCGATCCGCCCAGCGGGGCCACTCCTCGTGTGCCACTTCCGAGCGCAGCCAGCAAGGAGCATTACAGCACGACCAGTCGGACGTGTGCCGCCTCAGTGGTTCAGGACCGCCGACTGCAGCCCGTCGGCATGTGGACGCGCGCGCGTGCGCGAGCGTGCGCGTGCGCGCGCGCGTCTGTGTGTAAGTGTGTAACTGTGTATGCGTAAGTGTGTAATTGTGTATGCGCGGAAATGTGGAAAAGTGTGTGCGCGTGTGCGTCCGCAGTCGCGTCCCTGGTCTGACGCTGCCCTGCTGCCGCCGCCCCTCGTTTTTGTCTATCGCTCTCTCTCTCTCTCTCTATCTCTCGCCCGCGCTCGCACGCGCTACCACCACTGACCCACCGCGGAGCAGGGCTCGCGGCGGCCGAGGATTCTCTGCGTGTGGTGTTGTGTTGTGTTGTGTTGTGTTGTGTTGTGTTGTGGTGTGTTGTGTTGTGGTGTGTTGTGTGTTGTTGTGTGTTGTTGTGTGTTGTTGTGTGTTGTTGTGTGTTGTTGTGTGTTGTTGTGTGTTGTTGTGTGTTGTTGTGTGTTGTTGTGTGTTCTTGTGTGTTCTTGTGTGTTCTTGTGTGGTGTTGTGTGGTGTTGTGTGTGTGCGTGTGTGCGTGTGTGTGCGTGTGTGGTGTGTGTGTGGGTGTGGGTGTGGGTGTGTGTGTGTGTGTGTGGGTGTGGGGGTGTGGGTGTGTGTGTGTGCGTGTGTGTGCGTGGGTGTGCGTGCGTGCGTGTGTGTGTGTGTGCGTGTGCGTTTGCGTGTGCGTGTGCGTGTGCGTGTGCGTGTGCGTGTGCGTGTGCGTGTGCGTGTGCGTGTGCGTGTGCGTGTGCGTGTGCGTGTGCGTGTGTGCGTGTGCGTGTGTGTTGTGTGTGATTTGTCTGTTTGCTTGTTTGCTTGTTTGTTGCTTTGTGTGTGGTTTGTATGCATGTGTGTGGTGTGATGTGTGTGTGCTGGTGTGCACGTGCGTATATCCGTGTGTGTTGTTGGTGTGTGGTTATCGATGTGCCTCTGCGTCTGCTTGTCTGCGTGTCTGTTTGTGTCTTTGTATCTATGCTTGTATTCGTGCGTGTGTGTGCTTCTGTGTTGTGTGTTGTGTGTGTGTGTGTTGTGTGGCCTGCTGTGTGATGTGTGTGGCGTGTGTGGCGTGTGTGGTGTGTGGTGTGTGGTGTGTTGTGCGTTGTGTGGGTTGTGTGGGTTGTGTGGGCTGTGTGGGCTGTGTGGGTTGTGTGGGTTGTGTGGGTTGCGTCTTGCGTGTTGTGTGTTGTGCGTACTGTGTGGACGGTGCGTGCGTGCGTGCGTGCGCGTGTGGTGCCTCGGGCGACACCGTCACTTTGAAACATCAGCGTTGAGCACCGGCTGGGGTTTTCATGATCCTCGCTTCTTGAGGAGGAGGAAGAGGAGGAGATCACCCGCAGGGTGAGATCACGGAGCAATCCCGAGCCCTTCCGAACTCGGGATCCCCGAAGAGACCCCAGACCCCTAGCGCTGAAAAGGAGGAGGAGGAGGAGGGAGGGGGAGGGAGGGGGAAGGAGGGAGGAGGGAGGAGGAGGAAGAGAGGGGGGGGTGGAGGAGGAGGAGGAGGAGGAGGAGCCCTGCGCCGCTCGCTCCCGCCGACGCTGGCAGGGTGCCCCTCTCCTGCACGCGGCGCGCGCGCGGGCTGCCTCCCCACCCGCTCCGGGTGCCTCTCTCGGGGATATGGACAGACCTCCCTTTAGTAAAACGAGGTTTAGTGAAAACGACATGAGGCCCAAACCTGGCGGGCGCAAGCCTGGGAAATAACGGCCGCGGCGCCCTCTCGAGAACCGAAAACGGACAATTCACTAATCGACGTGTCACTGTTGGGGGTTCTGTCCACCCCCGACTCTCCCTTGGGCGCCCGAGTTCTCCGGGGTAACTCGGGTCCGGGGCAACTCGGGTTCGGGTTCCCGAGAAGCGAACCCGAGCTAGCCCCTGGCCCGAGTCACCCCGGATGATTTTGGGGCTCGGGACGCCCGAGTTGCCGGTCCGGGGTAACTCGGGTCCGGGGTAACTCGGGCTCGGGTTCCCGAAAAGCGAACCCGAGTCAGCCCTGGCCCGAGTCACCCCTGATGATGCGGGGCTCTGATTTCCCTGCGCACGCTCGCCCTAGCGCAGCCACCCACTCGCCACGCCGTGTGGAAGCCGGCCAGCTCGTAGCCCGTTCTGGGTGAGATCACGGAGCAATCCCGAGCCCTTCCGAACTCAGGATCCCCGAAGAGGAGGAGGAGGAGGAGGAGGAGGAGGAGGAGGAGGAGGAGGGGGAGGGGGAGGGGGAGGGTCGCTCGGCCACCGGGATAGGCAGTGTACTCGGCCACCGCAGGCGCCTCGGACGGCCGCTTTTGGGCGGCCGCCCCTCCGTGCGAGGTCCCTTGGGCGGCGGCGGGGGCCGCACGCCGCGAGGCCCGAAAAGCAGAAGGGAAGAGTGCCTGCGCGCGTCCTCCTCCACCTCCTCCTCCTCCTCCTCCTCCTCCTCCTCCTCCTCCTCCTCCTCCTCCTCCTCCTCCTCCTCCTCCTCCTCCCTCCTCCTCCTCCTCCTCCTCCTCCTCCTCCAACCTCCTCCTCCTCCTCCTCCCTCCTCCTCGGGGCGGCGGCTGGGGGCCTGGCCCACAACGCGGGCGGGGGCAGGGCAGAGGCCAATCTCGCTTCAGGGGGGGGGGCGTTCACGCGGCTCCTTCTGCGCAGTCCCCCGTGTGCAACGCCAGGAGGAATTAAACGCTGAGCGTGCCCCGCCGGAGCTCTCGCTGCAGTCACGCCACTCGGCCGCTTGCCCAAAAGTGTGCGGGGATCGAACCTCCTGGGGGACGCCCGTGCTGCGTGTGTTGACTCTGCTTCATGCGAGGCGTGGGTTTATCCATGACCATCGCCTGGGGCATCGATGTTCGGGTGCCTTGGCAGGCGGTGGTGGATATCATATCCATGTCCTTGTCCAACGCCTGCCGACGTCCCCAGAGAGCGAGTCCCCCAGGCGATGGCGATGAATAGATCCCTGCCTCGCCTCCTCCCCTTCCTCCCTCCCTCCCCGCACGCTGACTGACGGCACTCTCCAGGCTCCCAGCTGACTGCCTCCGCCGCGTCGCTGCGCGCATGGCCGCAATACCATGAAGTGTGTGCGGGGGGGCAAAGGGGCACAAGTGATTTAGCAACCGAGTGTCAGGAGCCAAATTCTGGGAGGCCTCCGCAAGATTATGGGAAACTACCAGACCCGATTAGTCAAGGGGCCATCAAGCCAGATTAAGCCCAACATTAAGCTGAGCCAACAACGGACTACGCCAGAGTAGGCGGGATCATACCAGATCGGGCCCGTTTTCGACCTCGGATATACCAGCGCAGATGCTGCCTTTGACTTCCCAGGAGCTGCATCCGAGCGAATGCACAAGCTGCAAGCACAAGTAAGGTCAACGCTCATCCCATCACCGAGGGAAAACGATAAGGGGGTCTGGCTCAGGGTAGGGGGGAGCACTTCCTTGGAACCGGCGACGCCATCGCCAATAGATCGACAGGCCCTCGACTGCAGAGCCGTATGTTTCTGGGCAGGCAAATTACTAGGGCGCGCAGGCCTCAGTGACGGATGGCCGGTCGGGGGGTCGATGAGCTACTCCCCCTCCTTGGGGAACGTAAGAACAATCATGTCAGCGCTGGCCTCCCAGGGAGTTGCTTGAGTGCCAACGGAGCACCAGAACCGCCCGAACACTACACTGACCAATCAGCCGTGGAACTACCGCCTCAGGGCAACCATGAGTCAGGTCGGCACTCTCACGAGCGGCGGAAACATCCAATCAACGCCCTCGTGGTGTCTGGATTCCAGAGAGTAATCCCATAGATACGCGGTCGCATGAATACGTTCCGCCCGTGGCATCCGCGAATACACACCCCGTATCGACAGTTCGCAGCGCAGGGGCCTGGCCCGCGAGGCCGTGCATATGGGCATGTCTTCCGCCTACGATGCTCGGGCCCACCGGTCATCACCCAAAGGGACTCGGTCGACCCGGTCGCTGACCAGACCCTTTTTGGGACCCCGAAGGCACCTGCCCCATCTCGGCCATGGCCGGCCAGCCCGAGCGCAGTGGCGGACTGCGCGCGACAGCGCAGCTAGATACCACCAGCTGTCCAGGTTCCCAAAGGTCCTGGTGGGCTGTTGCTTGTCCAGCGGCTTGCGGACCTCATGGCACAGCAGGCAATATCTTGAGAGGGCCCAGTCTCGGCCCTTGACAACATGCAGTCTCGTCTTCCACTCGAAGTAGCGATTGTATGCTGCGTCGTCTTTGTCCAGGCGCATGAGGTGTTTTGCGAGGAGCTCCAGAGAGCCAAAATCATCAACATGGATGAAAGAATCTTTTGGCGCGACTGCCTCATAATCCGCTCTTTTAAGCCCACCCCACACCACAGGTACCAATCCAGAGTCGTAAGCTCTGCTTAGCTTCTCGGTGATGTAGCCATCACACCGCGAATTCTCAAAAGAAGCATAAAACTTGAACTGGTTCACGAATTCGGATAAACACATCTCATCTTCTCGCCTGTAGCTCCCACATGCTGACTTCTCCCCACAAGCTCCGATGATCTTGCTTCTGCCCCTTGGCAAATCCACCACTGGGCGGTAGGCGCCAAGTGGAGCGGCATGCGGTCATTCAAAAATCCTCGGTGAGTGCTCTGGGAAGCCCCGGGAAACGGACGCAGCGGAGGCAGAAAGCGAGCCAACCCAATCAGGCCCTCGAGAGGCGCGCGGAGGCATCCAAAAAAGGAAGGCCCAGGGACGAGAGGCCCACCGAGAAACCCCAAGAAGAATCCAAGAGGCCTCTGGTCCACAACCCAGGCACGGTGGCAGGATTGGCCGACGGCCTCTGGATCCGCCGCCCCCTGTCGATTCATCGCAGGGGTGCCTGGCGTGCTACACCCTCTCGGTTATGGTTTTGGTTCTTTTCCAAAAGAACTCCCCCTAGGGCTTCGGCCCGTCCTGCGCGGGCCCCCGCAAGACCCATAGGACGCCGAAGACATCGCCCAATTCCCAAATGTTCCTCCAAGACGGCTCAAGATGGCCTCCAAGATGGCCACGTTGGCCCAACATGGCCTCCAAGATAATCCAAGATGGCCCCCAATTCCGCTCAAGATGGTCCAAGACGGCCTCCAAGACGGCCCAGGAGAGTCCAAGACGGCCCAAGACGGCCCAAGAGGCCCCCCAGAGGCCTCCAAGACGGCCCAAGAGGCCTCCAAGAGGTCCTCCATGAGGGCCCGAAGAGGCCAACATCATTGATTGTCCTGAGGTTTTCGAAGGATTTTGGCATTCGCTTCTTCTCGGCTTTCCGACGACCCAAGACGGCCCAAGTGGCCCCCAAGATCGGCGCCCAAGAGGCCTCCAAGATGGCCTCAGGACTGCCCAAAAGGCCCACAAGACGGCCCCAAGATAGCAAGGACGACCCACGAGGCCTCTAAGACGCCCAAGATGGTCTCTAAGACGGCCCTGGAGCACCCCAAGAGGGCCCCAAGTCGGCCCAGAAAGGCCCCCCAAACGTCATCCGACGGCGTCAGACGGGCCAGGAACCCACAAAGATGGCCGAAGTTGGCTCGAAGCTGGCCCAAGACGGCCCAAGGGGCCTCCAAGAGGGCCTCCAGGAAGGCCAGAAAAGGCCAAAAACATTGATTGTCCGTAGGTGTTTGAAGGATGTCGGCATTCGTTTCGGCCTTCCGACGGCCGATACGGCCCGAGACCCCCCAAAGATCGCCAAAAGATCGCCCAAGAGGCCTCCAAGATGGCCCCAGAACGGCCCAAGAGGCCCAAGACGGCCCACGAGGCTTTTAAGACGCCCAAGGTGGCCTCCAAGAAGGCCCTGGAGCATTCCAAGAGGGCCCCAAATCGGCTCAGAGAGGCCGCCCCAAACGGCTCCCGACGGCGTCGGACGGGCCAGGGGCCCACCAAGACGGCCGAAGATGGCACTAAGATGGCCCAAGACGGCCCAAGAGGCCTCCAAGAGGGCCCCCAGAAAAGGCCCGAAAACACCAACATCATTGATTAGACATAAGATGTTGAAGGATCGTAGCATGTGCATGTTGTTCGGCCTTCCGACGGCCCGAGACGGCCCACGCGCCCCCAAAGATCGCCCAAGAGGCCCAAGACGGCCCCAAGAGGCCCCCAAGACTGCCCAACAGGCTTCCGAGATGCTCAAAATGGCCTCCAAGACGGCCCAAGAGCCCTCCAAGACGTCCCCCAAGAAGGCCCGAAAGGGTCAAAGTGGCCTCCAGGCGACCAAGGTGACCTTCAAAATGCCCACGTGTTCCCCGAAGGCTTTCCAAACCGACTCGGGGAACACATGGTCTGATTGCTTGGCAGGTATCGCCTCAACGTTCGGCCACATAGGCGTTTCCAAAAAGGCAGGGGGCGGCGGTGATTCGCCGTAGGCGTCCTCGATCCGCCGCCCCCTGTCGATATATCGCAGGGGTGCCTGGCGTTGTGGATGCTTGTTTCTTCCCCGCTGTTGCCCCTCTGTTCTGCGTTGTCCACGCTCATCAGAGGTTTGTCCAATGAACTTACCACCCCGCCTTTGCCTCTCGCCAGCGCCGCCAGCTCCCGCGACCGAGCTTCCCCCCGGGACTGAGGCAGTCAGTGCCCTCGGAAGCCGTTGGACCCAGGATCCCTCCACGGAATACCAGACCAGAACCGAAACGAAGGCCGCCAGCGGTCCGAAAGGAAAACGGGCGCTGGGCGAGGCAAGGCGCGACTGAGAGGGCATCAAAACTCCCAAGAGCGCTCTTCCACGACTCCCCCTTCTGGCCCCGCCGAAAGCTCTGAAAACCGCCAGGCCAAATCGTAGGCCAACGGGCTTCCCAATAACTCAAGCCTCTGTAGGCGGCATCGGGAACCTGCATATCACTTAAAACCTGCTGGCCTTCGGAAATATAAATGCGCGCAGTGGCCGCGTCTTGCCACCTGCCCCTCTCTAGGGTTGCGGGCATCTTCTTGGTACGTCTGAAAAAAGATGTGGCCCCGCCTCGCCTCTGACTATAAGGCTTGAGTCGAAACTGCTGACAGTTCACTGCCGCGCACAAATGTTCGAATTGAGCTGTGAAAACCCCACGCTGGAAGACAAACTGAACTGATCAGATGGCAGATGACGCAAGAGGAACGCCACCAATCCCACCACCGAAACATCACCGACCACAACGGACTCTTGGCGATTGAAGCGCAATCCGCTTTTTGTGATCGGCAACACAATGACAAGTCTGGCGTTAACCCTGCCAGCGGCGCAGCGTGAGCATCTCGGAGGTCCGCAGGAAGCCGGCGAGCCCGATCACGAGCACAGCGGCTACATCGTTGCGGCCCCAACCTCGCGCTGCGGCCGCCACTACTGCGAGCATCACCTCCGGCGACGGCAGGACCCGCTGCGGCAGCTTGAGATTCTGCCAGGCCCGCAGCAGTCTCCACGAGGCTGGCAAGATGCGCTTCTCTCTAAAAAAATTGCACCGCGGACAGCGCGTTGCCAGTTAGACCCTGGGGATGGCCCTCGGTCCATAACCACTCGATCCACTCTGCCAACAGGAGGTCCAGTTGGTCTACTTGACCAGCGCCTCCTGACCAAGAGAGGCCGCGGCTGGGCACCCACTCAAAAAAATGCCTCACCGCATTCGGATAGACTTCAAGCGCGCGAGGCTGCGCCAAGTTATGTGAGAGACGCCCCACTGCAGCTCGAAGAAGGCGACTTGTGGCTTGATCATGGGCGTCTCTGGCTCTTCTCGCAACTCGCGAAGGCATGGCGCTAAGTGACTGCCTCCGCCGCTCCCCTCGACGGAACGTCCTCGGGGTTGCGGTCGGTCTCTGCGCAGCCATGCAATGGTCGAGCGAGAGCAGCCTTGGTAAAGGCCACCAATACGTCGCACTGCGATATGCAGCAGCTAGAAGACGAACGACCTCGCGCGATCACTCCGAGGCCAGCTTGCGAGCATCAAATGATAGAAACGGGCACGCAGGTGGTGAGACGATCGAAAACTCCATCTCAAGGCTCGCGACGTAGCCCGAACTGCGAGATCTGCAACGAGCGATGCATGTTTCCAGTCCCAGGTAGCAGTGGTCTTCCAGGTCCATCGGGCAACGCGCACGGGGCGCCGCGGCCAGAGATCGGGCCTCGTGGTTTCGACTGTGTCGAGCCTGATGTCGCTCCCGCGCGCCCAAGCGCGACGGGCCAACTCCTCCGCGATCACGATGCTCGGGTCGCTGGCAGCGCTCTCATCTTCCAATTTGTGCTGGCGAACAATGACTCCGTCCTCAAGTTCAGATTTGTGCATGTTGACGCTGGAGTCGGCAAACGCGGCACCACATCCGACTTCGCGCACCAGCTCGAAGAAGGGCACCTGGGGCAGGTAGCCAGCCTTCACTGCCCAGTGCGACATGACCCAGGCAACCACGGCACACTGGAAGCTATGGCCCAGCAGGGCGCAGCGGCATGTTTCCAGATCTGCTCTCTCCAGCTTGCGTGCCATGGTCGCCCGAGCGGTGATAGTATGCCCTGGAACGAAATCTAACAAGAGCTCTCTCCCTCTCTCTCTCTCTCTCTCTCTCTCTCTCTCTCTCTCTCTCTCGGTACTGTTCGGGGGCCGCCGAGTGCCGCTAGGCTCCTCGATGCAGCTGGCGCCCTGCAACTGGCATGGCGCGTAGCGGTAGTTGAAATCCTGCCACCTTCGGAGCTCCGCCTGAGAACAGCATTGGGGACAAGTGGGATACTCCCCAGGAGCTCGACGAGGTATGCACCGCAAAAAGGCAGACAGCCAGAAATCGCAATCCGCAGTCAGCATCTCCATACAACTTCGAGCCACTTCTCAACCAGCGACTGACTGAGCCAGGACCGCCAGGAATAGCAACTACCTTGACCTTGTCAATCATACGTGCCTCCCGCTGCCAATCACTAAGAAGCTGCTCATCAATCCAATGCAGTTCATCGCGTTCACAATGAGTGATAGCACTGGCACGAATGCGAAATGGAGCCACACCAATGCGCAGAGAAATAAACTCCCTGGACTCGGCACCCATTCAGGTAACGTTCTCAATCAAAGAAACCATTGGACAGAATTCCCCCATAACCTCTTCCAACAGAAAGTTGATTCGCCCAATCCCGGAGAAGAGCCTGGATCGTCGACCCCGCAGGCCTTCGCGCTCCACACTGACGCGGGATACCACTCACCAAGAGGAGCCACTTTACGTGCAGCACCCTCTCCCGCGCGGCGATAGCCTCCGCATCGCCAAAAGCCTGCGCATTCCCCTTGCCCAGCACGTCGGGCCAGGCATACTTGGTGACCCGCTTTGCATCGGGGCCAATCTCTGCGGACGCGAAGAGCGCGGGCGCGAGGCCGAGAAGGTCCAAGGCACGTCTCGCACCTCCGACGCCGTCGAAGAGGGACCACAGCACCACCTCATCGCGGAAAGCAGGTGGCGAAGCGACGGCTAGCCGCGCGCGCCGAGGCGACTCCATCAGCCCGTAGACGCGCAGCTCAACAAACTGCACCGCGCTGCACGCTGGCGTCGGACACGGCGACCAAACCAACCACTGATGGGCACTCTCAGGTCGCAGCGCAGCAGTGGGAGCAGCAACGTCGCACGCACAACTCCTCTCGCACCCTACACGGAAGAGGTGCTGCTCCTCGGATGCGGACCAAGAAGCGCCAGGGCTCCGCGAAGCACATCATCGACTCACGTCTGAAGAGCAAGCATCTCACCCCAGCGGCCGGCCAACATCTGCATCCACTTTTGCGCCACGGTGCCCCGCTTCAATGTGGCGAGGGTCAGCGAGACCAGGCGACGGATGAAGTCGGCTGGTGGGCTCATGGTACCACGCGCTCCATCGATGGCTTCACCCGGGGACCGAGTCTGCGTTTCTCGAAGCACGGCCTTCTGCTCGCCCCGCGGCGCCCCAAAGATCTCGTAGCGGCCGCGGGCCAGTTCGGCCGCCTCACCGACGCCCTTCTCCTTGAATCAGGCGGCCTGCCACCAGTCAGTGATCTCAAGAATGTCCAGGTTGCCAATGTGCACCCGCCACGCTCGCCACAGGAAGAAGGAATTGAAGCCCCCCTTCCATCTCTCAGTGGGGACATCGCCGCGGCACGCTCGCCCAGGCGCGCAGCGGCATAGGATCGGCGCCCCGCTCTAAGGCGAGACCCCCAAGAAGCCCTGGCGACCTGCCGGGGCACTGCACATGCAGGTCAACCGCCTCTAACCTCGGCACGCCGTCGCAAATGCGGCACGGATTGCCCCACTTGGAGGGCTTCAGACCATGACGTGCCGAGCCGCGGCCGATGTAGCTCCCGGGCCTCTCGTCGTCGCACGCAACTTCAACCTGGACCCGCGCAGGCACAGCGCCCTCAGCAACGATGCGGCGTCGGCGAGCGGGAGGAACCTGTGCGCCCTCACGAAGTTCCTCCTCCACTGCCAGCTGAGGATGTCGAGGGTGCCAGGAGCGAAGTAGTCGTCGGTACACATGTTGAATCACTCCCGTCGCTGAACAACACCCCATCGGCACCGCAGCTGCTGCCAGATAAACCAGACCCGCCCCTGGAAGTCAAGCTGCAGCCCTCTTCGCCAGATTGGAGATGGCCATATACTTGAGCCAAGCGTCGCACAAGCTGCGCACGTAGAAGCAGCACTTCAAATCCCCGACGCCCCAGAGCAGAACCTCGCCAGACCTCAAAATGATGCCCTTCCCCTCGTCGCTGCGGGGCAGCATCGGCGCGTCGCCCTCGATGGTGTTCTGAATGAAGGTTGACGGGATAATGTTCATCGCCAACCGCTGGGGGCCTGCGCCTTTCGCATGATACCCCTTCTTCACACCGAACATGCCCTCCATGATCTGGCGGCCCTGAACCTCTGCTATCTCGTGGCATTCTATCGGTTTGAGGATGCCTCTCGCTAGCGCGTCGCCTGCGATCCGCCCCCGCACCTTGTTGGAGGCCCGGACCTTAGGCGCGGGCGGCAGCTCCCCGAGCTCGGACGGGCCCATCAGAATCAACCCTCGGCCGCGTCGATGGCCTTCACCGCCGCGCAAACCCCGAGGGGAAGTAGAGCTTCCAGCAACCGCGACCTCCTCGCCATCGTAAGTAGCGGCTGCTGAGACGGGCTCCGACTCCCAGTCGATACCGGGGATCTGGCCAGCACACTGGGCACAACAGACCCTCACTTCACACAGCAGGTTGCTTCGCGCCTCACGCTGGGTGGCGCTCGGAGGGCCGACAGGTTCATCGATCCAGCTGCGGTTGCAGTGGAAGTTGAGACCCTTCACAATGGCGTGCAACCAGTTGAGCTCATCCTGGGAAGCCGCCGAGGAGCCCCGACAGTCCTCTGGGCGGTCTCCGCGACACAGCGGTAAAGCCAGCGCATGAAACACGATCGGGAATGGTAGAAGGCCCCTTTCGTTCTCTCCGGCCGTTCGATGGCGAGCGCGGCTTCTCATCAATATCCCAATCAGAATCAGCACGAGTGCTGTCATTGGAAGTCTGCATAGGAGCCGGGCGTGACAATATAAAAACGGAATCACCGGAATTACGCGTGGAGACATGGCGCGGCGAACTCATTTCATCGGACTTACGCAAAGGTTCTGGGTAGAGCGCATCGCGCAGCATCTGCAGCAAGACGCCCCCGAAGTTCCCCGCTGCGGAGCCAGCGACTAGCCGCAGCAGGTCAAGTAATGAATTGGACGAGCCATCCATTGCATCAATCACGACGTGAGATTCGTCAGCATGCAAGCGATTAAAACTGGAGGCGGCCCTCGAGGATTCTGACGAGGTCGGCGTCGAAGGAGGCGATGCCGCGTCAAGGGCTCAAAAGGCACCTCGACTACCTCAGCGTCGTCCAGGAGCGAGCCCCCCCTCGGCCCCGCGACTTCGACTTGCCGCCTGCCTTGCCCGCCTGCGACTTGCCCGACCTCGCTCCGGCCTTGCCCTTCCCCGACTTCTGCTTCCCCCCCCACTTGGATGGCCCCCCGCTGCCATTCTGCCGCTGGATCGGCAAGTCCCCGGCAGGCTGGGGGGAGGGCGAGCGCCGCGCTGCCTGCTGCTCCACGTCGTCGGCGAAAAGAACGCGCCGAACGGGCGAAGCTGCTCGCGTGCCCTCTCTGGCTGGTGGGCGTAGGATCGGCCTCCTGTCGGGGCCAGGGCTGAGGGCTCCGCGAGCCACACCTGCTGGCGACCCAGGCGCGGAGGCTGCGGGCGGCGGCGCCGCGGCGGGGCTGCCGGCGCGCGCCGCTGGCGATGGGCCGCGAGGAACCGCGGCGGAGGCAGTCCAGGCAGCTCTCTTCCGCTCTCTCCACCGAGCCTTCCCCGAGGCCTTCTCGCGCATCATCAAGGAATTTGTCTTGGAGTGGCCGATTGTCAACTGTGAGTTGCCGGATGCAGGGGGTGGCCTCTGAGAAGGTGGCGCCCTGGGCTGCGCGCCCCCTTCTCAGCCTGACCCCGTACCCGGCGCTGCCTCCTCCTCTCTTCGCCTTGGCCGCGCTCTCGGCCAGGCCGTGCGTCCACTTGTGCTTGATCGCCGCGTCGTGCACCTCCCCCTGACGTGCTAGTCCAACTCCCAGGTCGTCGCAGAGCTCCAACTGCTGTTCCACCTGCCAGTGACCGTCCTTGGCGGCCTGCTCGATCACCTTCAGCCTCTGAATCAGAAGGTCTCCGAGATGGTCCAGCTCTCCTCGAAGTAGGGCGTCTAAGCACTCGCCCACCGTCCTCACCTCGCGTCTGCTCCCCCCCCGTCTCGCTCTGCGGGTGGCGCCCGTGCCACACGCTGGTGATGCATTGCACCACGGTCGCTGCAAACTCGCCCAGGCTCTGATATGGGTCCGCCCCCCCGCGCCGCGCAAGATATCGTCTGATCTGCTCCATCCCGCTCAACAGGAGAGCACCTGGTGCCTCACGAGCGAGATGCGCAGCACCCGAGCTGCTGTCTGAACTTTTGCTGCGCTTTTTGCAACGATGGCTGCGGCGCTTCGACCTTGACAGTGTTGCTTCCGCACGGTCCGCCAACGCCTCGCCAACGCCCCTCTTCGGCTGCAGCCGTCGTCTCAGATCCGTCACCTTCTTCCGCAGCTCCTGGGACGATGGCGGCCCTGCTGGCATCCCGAGGGCGGGGGCAGGCGGAGGCGTCCCAGCGGCCGCACCAGCTAGGCCACGGCCTGACACCGAGCCGCGCTGCTGCACCCGACGAAGGTGGCCTCCACGAAGCACCCCATGCCGTCTCCTGGCCATACGTTCTGCACCTTGAAGGTCGCCCTGCCCGCAGCGCTCCCGAAGTTATCGAGCGTGACTCCCTCCAGCAGGCATCCGGAAGCCAGACCCACGCGCTGGTAGGCCATGGGGGCCGAGGGGCCGTGCACCCAGGGCCCCGCTCCTCCAGGCGGCGCCGCCAGATCACAGGCCCCTCCAGCGAAGCCTGCAGCCGCCCCAACTGCTGGCACCCAGCCAACGAGCCCGCCGCCCCCGACACCAGGCGGAGCGCCCGCATCGCCCACCGGGCCTCCTGCGGCTTGACGCCACGCGCCAGATCCGCCGAAGCCTCCGACGCCCAGGGCGCCTGCGCCCAGCACATGCACTCCAGGTCCTGCTGCGCCAGGCCCGCCAGGCGGGCCGCCGACGGCGGCAGCGGCCCCGCCGCCCCACGCTGGGGGGATAAGCCCGCCACAAGGACCTGCCGCGGCGGCGGGGACACCTGGGGGGCCTGGCGGCCCCGCTCCAGCGGCCGCTGCTCCAGCAGCTCCGCCTCCTGCAACGCCTGCTGCGCCTGGCGCGCCGCCGTGTGGCCCCCAGGGCCCCCGATGGCGGGCAGCCCCGCGCCGCCAGGGACTCCCGCAGCCCCTCCGCCGCCAGCCGCGCCCGGCACACCACCAGCGGCTCCCGCGACGATGGCGCCAGCGCCTCCAGCACCTGGAGCGGCTGCGCCAGCGGCACCACGGGGGGCGGCGGCCGCGGCACCAGCTCCACGGCCACGACCTCCACGTCGGCCGCCGCGCCCTCCAGCAGCGGGAGGTGGGGGGCCCGCGGCAGCGGCGGCGGCGGCCGCGGCTCCGCGCCCTCGCCCCGCGGCCGCAGCCTTCGCCCCAGCCTTCGCACGCGCGGGCCGAGGCGGCGCTGGCACAGCTGCAGCGGCCCCCGCAGGCAGTGCAGCGAAGCCGCCCCTGCGCCAGCGGCAGCCGCCGCCATCCCCGCCTCATCGCCGCCTGGTCGCGCTGGCGGCCGCGCGGGAGGCGGGGCGGCCCGCGGGCGAGGGCCTCCCAAGGGGGGCCCAAAGGGCCCCGCACCCCTGCAAGCAAAAAGCTATGGGCGAGGCGGCGAGCGCAGCACTGAGAACCTGGGGCCAGCGGACTTCGAACCAATCCACTTAAAGAATGAGATTATTCGGCTTTGGTTTTGGTTCTTTCCACAAGAACTCCCCCTGGGCTTCGGCCCGTCCCGCCGGCCACCTGGAGAGAGTACCCGGCTTGCCCGGAGCCGGCTGCCAAGGGTTTTTCCTGCTCCAGTCGGCTCCACAACGGCCCAAGATGGCCTCCAAGACGCCTCCAAGACGGCCTCCGAGACGGCTCAGATGGCCCCAAGATGCCTCAAAGATGGCCCACGATGCCTCCAAGACGGCCTAAGATAGCCTCAAGATGACCAAAGACGGCCCAAGAGGCCCCCAAGAGCCCCCCAAGACGCCTCCAAGAGGTCTTCAAGGAGAGACCAAAGAGGCCAAAATCGTTGTTTTTGCTTTAGATGTTTGAAGGAGTTTGGCATTTGCTTTTTTTCGGACTTCCGAAGACCTCAAGACGGCCCAAAAGGCACCCAAAATCGCCCCCCAGATCACTCACGAGGCCTCCAAGATGGCCCCATGACGGCCCAAAAAGGCCCCTAAGATGCCCCCAAGAGGGCTCAAAGACGGCCTAAGAGACCTCCAAGACAGCCAAGCTGGCCTCCAAGACGGACCCGAAGGCCCCAAGATGCCTCCAACTCGGCCCGAGATGCACCCAAAACGGCCTGAGATGGCCTCCAGATGACGGCCCAAGAGGCCTCCAAGAGGCATCCAAGACGGCCCAAGAGGCCTCCAAGAGGTCCTCCAGGAGGGCCCGAAGAGGCCCAAATCATAGATGTTCCTAAGGTATTTGAAGGATGTTGGCATTTGCTTCTTTTCGGCATTCCAACGGCTCAAGACGGCCCAAGAGGCCCCCAAGATCCCCCAAGAGGCGGGGTCCTCAACGGGGTCCTCATCGGCCCAAGGTTTGGACGCATGGGCGCTTCCAAAAGGCAGGGAACGGCGTAGGCGTCTTCGATCCGCCGCCCCCCTTTGCTCGCTGGCTGCTTGGCGTGCGTAAGGTTCACTGCTAACTGGCCGTCCCGAAAGGTTCTCAGCGGCCTCCGTCCAAACCCGCGGGACACCTGGGCGGCGCGGGCGATGCGCAAAGGCGTTCCACCCGTCTCCAGACTCCCAAGACGGCATCTAATGGCACTTCCCGATGGCACATCCCAAGATGCCTCCAGGACGGCCCCCATTGGCCCCACGATGGCTCAAGATGGCCCAAGATGGCCTCCAGACGGCCTCAACGCGGCCCAAGCGGCACCCAAATGGCTCCAGCACGACCTCCAGGAGGGCCCGAAGACGCCGAAATTTTGGGTCCCCCTCGATTGGTTAGAATCTGATTCGTTCTCGCCTAGTCGGACAGCCCAAGACGGCCCCGATCGCCCCGAGACGGCCCAAGAAACCCCGAAGTGGGCCCCAAGACGGCCCCAATATAACTCACGAAACCCCCAGACGGCCCTAAAGCGCCCGAAGAGGACCCCAAGACGGCCCAAAACGACTCCAAAGACGGCCGTCGAAGGCACAAGAAGACCAAGAGTGTCCCGAGACGGCCCAAGAAGCCCCCAAGAGGCACCTGGAGGCCCCTCAGTGGTCCCCAAGAGGCCCCGAGTAAGCCCGAAGGAGGCCCAGAGCTTCCCAAGAGCGCCTCGAGAGGCCTCCTCCTCGACCTCCTCCTCCTCCTCCTCCTTCTCCTCCTCCTCCTCCTCCTCCCCCTCATCCTCCCCGATGTTCTCCCCCGAGGGTTCTCCAAAGGGTATACACAACGACTAATGGAACACATCCGCCACCGTGCCTTGTGCGCGCTGGGGCGTGTTAGAATGCTCCTCGGCTGCCTGGTAAGTTTTTCTGTCGTTGTCGCGGGGGGGAGGGAGGCACACCCTCCCCTCGTCGCAAGCGTCCTCCGAAAACCGATGTCGGAGCCGATGTGGGGCCCTCTACGATTTAAGTGCTGGTTGGAAAGGCGCTGCCCGAAAAGAGGTTCTGGCCGAGAGGGGTCGAAGCAGCAAAGAGCAACAAACCCATCAAACACAGCCCAAACAGCTTCAACCAACAGCCCGAGCAGCCAAGCCAAACCAACCAGGCTGAACAACAAACCGAACAGCCATCAAAGCACAACCCCAAACAACACAACAAAACCACCAACTCGATTCCAAAAAATGTTCCGATGCCAACCGGACCCGCGAAGAAGCACGAGCACCTCAAAGCAACAAAAACCGACACTGATTACCAGCCAAAAAACAAAAATGTAAACAAACAATCCGCCGGTCCCAAGAGACGCACGAGGAGAAGCGCGTCCCCGAGGCCCACCATACGAAAACTCCGTTCCTCGAACACCCTTACGCGATAAACCTTACATACGCTGCTCCAGTCGGGTTTCGGAGAGTAGGCACAGAGAGGGTCTCTGGACTCTGAAGCCGAAAATGCACTGATCCAGGCGCCCAACACGGCGCACCATTTAAACGAGCCAGAAAGCAGGCGCGCCAAAAGCGCGCTGATGCAAATCGTTGAATGAGATGGCCAGGGGGAGGGCACAGCACCAGAAAACAAAGGGGGGAGACGGACACTGAGGAATAGGCCGAAAGACCTACTCGAGAGGCCCATTGAACAGCACGAGCAGCAGCTCCCTGCAGCAGCCCCCTGCTCCTTCAATCGAACTCGTTCGACAAGCACAGCCCGAGGAGGAGGACGAGGAGGAGAAGGAGGAGGAGACGAAGGGAAGAAGAAACGAACGCTAATCACAAGGGCGCCAAACACGCCCGCGATGCAGCCCGCCAAACGCGCTGCCATAACCATAGCCGTTCGCCGGCCCACCTGGATTTACTTTCGCTCGCTGTCGCAGCGGTGCTCGCAATCTTTAGAATCCGCCCCCCGCCCCTCAGTTTCGCGCCCGGAACCGACCTCCGCCCCCCTCCTCGCCTCGGCATATCCACCCTTCGGAAGCTCTCTTTTTGGGAGCTGAATCCCACAATTTCGCCCCACCTCACAATTTCGCGCCTTCGGCATCCCCACCCCTCGGAAGCTCTCTTCTTGGGACCCCCCGCTCCACAATTTCGCGCGCGGAACCGTCCAACGCCCCCCTCCTCGCCTTGGCATCCCACCCGTCGGAACTCTCTTCTTGGCACCCCCACCAATTCTGACCCCCCCACCCCGCTGGACACTCTGTGTGTCGTGTTTTAAGAGCCCCCCACCCTACAAAATCACGCGCCGGCACCCCCCCACCACGTCTGACAGCCTCACTGACTGTGCTGGACCCTCTGTGTCTCATGTTTTAGGGGGCCCCCATCCTGCAAAATCACGCGCCGGCACCCCCACGCCACGTCTGACACCCCCACCTGGCTGGACCCTCTGCGCGTCGTCTTTAGGGGCCCCCCAACTTGCAAAATCACGCGACGGCACCCCCAAGCCACGTCTGACACCCCCACACTGCTGGACCCTCTATGCGTCGTGTTTGGGAGGCCCCCCACCCTGCAAAATCACGCGCCAGCACCCCCACGCCACTTCTGACACCCTCGCTCTCCTGGACCCTATTGTGTGTCGTGTTTTAGGGGCCCCCCACCCTGCAAAATCACGCGCCGGCACCCCCCACCACGTCTGACGCCCCCACCCTCCTGGACCCACTTTGTGTCGTGTTGTAGGGACACCCCGCCCTGCAAAATCACACTCCCACACTGCTGGACCCTCTGTGCGTGTTTTGGGGACAAAATCACGCCCCGGCCACCCCTCCACCACGTCTGACACCTCCACCCTGCTGGATGTTTCGGGCGATATTGGCCAAACCACCTCTGGTCAGGGCGCCTCACTGTCCACAGTTGCGAAGATGGTTCAGGCTAAACTGGCCGGACAACCAACTGCGCGGCCTCTCGGGGCATCTTCGACCTCAGAAGCGCCAGGACGTCTCGGGCGAAACAGGCAGGACCAGTTCAGTTCAGGGCATGTGGGAGCTAAGCGTTGCAAGTTCCAACGATGTCTCAGACATAACTGGCCTGACAACCTGTTGCGTGGCATCTCGAAACCAGGATCACCATCTATTAGCATTACCATCATCATCATCATCATCATCATCATCATCATCATCATCATCATCATCATCATCATCATCATCATCATCATCATCATCATCATCATAATCATCATTATCATCATCATCATCATCATCATCATCAACATGATCATCATCATCAGCATCATCATCATCAGCAGCATCATCATCATCAGCATAATCAGCATCAGCATCGTCAGCACCAGCATCAGCATCAGCATCAGCATCATCATCATCATCGTCGTCATCGCCACAAGCATCCTGATCAGACTCGTCATCGTCATCGTAATCGTCATCATCACCATCCCCATCATGAATGTCACCATCATCATCAGCAACAACATAATCAGCAGCATCATCGGCATCATCATCCTCATCCTCATGCGCATCATCATAGTCACCATCACCATCACCACCACCATAATCCTCAACATCATCATCATCAACACCAGCATCAGCATCAACATCAACAGCATCATCATCACCGACAGCATCATCATCACCATCATCACCAGCATCGTTATCATCATCACCACCATCATCATCGCCACCATCATCATCATCAATATAAGAAAATATTATCATTATCCAACCTGACAGGGTCAGAAAATGTCCACCCCGACGCGCGTAGCGTCTGAGCACTCACCTGCGAGGATGTTTCAGGCGATATCGAAGGCCACCTTCGAAATCCTCGTCGACCGTGGTTGATTATCTAGGAATGAAAACCTAGGCTCACTATCTTCAGATGATACCCTATAGATTATTGTCCTGTGAATGGATCGAGCTCAGCCCCCCCCCCGGCCGAATCATTATCTTTCTGGCAAAATCAACCTAAGTTCAATATTCCAACATCATGAACCAGGGTTTATTTCAGTCCGGAACGTACTCTCAAACGGCGCCCCCCAGGCTCAATCATTATCACTCCAAAAATAATTAACCCGGGGTCAATTGTCTGGGAACATCACGAATCCAGGTTTATTCTCTCCTGGAGATAATGGACCGGGGTCCATATTTCGACATGAAAAACCTGGTGGGGAACTCGGGGGTCGGGCGGAAAATGATAATTATCATCATTCCGGAATTACGAAAACCGGATTCATTATTCCAGGGACATTGTAAACCCCAGTCAATATTCCCGGAACAGTATGAACCCAGGTTAATGTGTTTTTGGGGTCGCTATCCCCAGACATTATAAACCAGGGTGCATAATGTTCCAGGGGGAAATTATGAACCCAAGTCAATATTCCCAGAACATTGAAACCCAGATTCATCATGTTCAGGGCGGGACATTATGAACCCGGGTCAATAATCCTGGAACATTATAAACCCTGTTTCATATCTATTTCGGATCCATCCTGGATATCGGCTTGACCACCTCCGGTTAGGGCGTCTCCGAGTCCACAGTTGCAAGGATGGCTCAGGCTAAACTGGCCAGACAACGTGTTGCGTGACCTCTAGGGCCATCTCCGACCGCAGAAGCGCGAGGGCATCTCGTGCGGAACAGGCAGGACCACTTCAGGTCAGGGCATGTGGGAGCTGAGCGTTGCAAGTTGCAAGGATGACTGAGGCCAAACTGGAATGACAAACTTTTGCGTGGCATCTCTACGCCAGGATCATCATCTCAATCATCATCATCATCATCATCATCATCATCATCATCATCATCATCAGCAGCAGCAGCAGCAGCAGCAGCAGCAGCATCATCATCATCATCATCATCATCATCATCATCATCGTCGTCATCATCATCATCATCATCATCGTCATCGTCATCGTCATCGTCATCATCATCATCATCATCACAAGCATCACCATGATCATCACCATCATCAGCATCATGATCATCATGATCATCATCATCATCAGCACCATCATTATCATCATCATCATCATCATCATCATCGTCATCGTCATTATCATAATCATCATCATGACCAGCACCACAGCCACAACCACCACCACCACCATCGTCATCATCATCATCACCATCAACGCCATCATCATCACCATCAGCACCATAATCTACCATCACCATCACCAGCATTATCATCATCATCACCACCAGCAGCATCACCATCAGATGATTCATCATCAGCATCCCCATCATCATCATCAGCAGCATCATCATCGTCATCATCATCAGCATCATCATAATCAGCATCATCATCACAACCATCACCAGCATCATCAGTATCATCGGCATCATCATCATCATTGTCGTCGTCGCCGTCGTCGTCGTTATCGCTGTCGTCATTATCATCACCATCGTCATGATCCATGATCATCATGGGAGCCGCTCGAGGAGCGGAAGGCCAAAAAGCAGAGGAGCAGGAGAATGAGGCGAGGGGAAACAGAACGATGAAAAGCAGCGGAAGAGCCAACAAACCCTCTGGACATCAGGCACCAGAAGTCGCCAGAAAACCAGAGCGAACCCCGAGAGGGCATCTCGGGACCGTCGCCCCAACGGAAAGCACAAACGCCTAAACTAAACGAACGCAGGAAGGCTACCCATTGACCCCATTTTGATAAAGTTCCCAAGCCGTGAGTTCAACTGTACGGGGAAACAAATTTGGGGCCGGCGGCAGAGGCGGCAGCCTTTAGATATGAATCAAACACAGAGCGCACACACACAAAGACTTTGTTCGTCAGCGGCGATGCGGCGAAATCCGCTCCAGCGTGAAGCCAGATAGGAACACTAACTAGCGAAGTGGCCGGCGAGCAAGGATGGAGGGGGGAGACCGGCGAGGAAAAAGGGACGCTCAGACGCCGAAGAGTTCGACGATGAGCAGCTGGGCGGGCAGCAGCAGCCAGGCGCGCAGGCCGCGCTGGGCGCACAGGGCCAGCCACACAAAGACACAACACCTACAAAAAACTAAACAGGCAAAAGAACGCATCGAGGAAGCCCAGGCGCTCCAAGGATGCCCGAACGACTGCCAGAGAGAAAGCCTTCAGACGCTCCAGGATGGCCCCAGGAGGCCCCAGATGCCCCCATGACGGCACAAGACGGTTCCAAGAGGACGCACAAGAGGCCTTTTTGGGGGGGGCGGGTCTGACAAGTAATTCAAGACGTGCCCTTCGTGGCTTCCGAAAGCTCAAGATAGCCCAAAAGGTCCCCCAGGGGGGTCCAAGACAGCCCAGCAGTGCCACAGGAGCGCCCCAAGACGGCCCAGGTGGGCTTCCAGACGGCCCCAGGGGCCCTCAAAGACGGCGCAAGATGCCGCCAAGACGACCCGAGAGGCCCAAGAGAAGTTCCCTAGGGGGACAAGGGAAATCGAGCTGCTCTTAACAGCATGTTCCTACAGGATTGCCTCCAAGACCTCCAACATGCCTCCAAGAGGCCTCTACGAGGCCGCCCCCAAGACGCCCCCGAGAACCCCAAGAGACCACAAAAGGCCTCCCAAAAGTCCCCCCTACAGACCACCGAGGCCTCACAAACGGACCGCGAAGGATACCGAGAGTTGGCGGCGCGCAGAGGGGGATAGGGGGAGGGGAGAAGGCTTCTTATAAGCACCCCTGCTTCTTAGAAGGGGCGTGCTTTTTCTGTAGATGCAAGGCCAGCGCCTTCTAAGAAGCAGCCTCCTTCTAAGAAGCCTTCCTCCCTCCCCCTACCTCCTTGTGCGCGCCACCAAGAGAGGCCCTCGAGAGGCTTCAGAGAATCTCCAGCATGCGCCTTTTGAAGGCAACCTCCTTCACGCTGCGCTGCTGCGCGATGGCGGGGTCTGCCGCAGGCAGCTGGATAATCCAATAGCGTTGCCAGAAGATGGCCCCACGTGTGGAAATATCGGCACTTTTAGAAGGGCAGGGGGTGCGGTGACTTGCCGTAGGCGTCTTCGATAGCTGGTCAAACGTTTAAAAATCGACATTCGGGGTTCAACGCAATTACTCACGAACCACAATAACAGCATGTTCTTACCGTCTGCATAATTCCCACCTGTGCTCACATTATTGTCCTTAGGTGGAATCAAGTGGAAGTTTGGCTTGAAGAAATTGCTCGAGGTCTTGTAAGTCATAGTCCAATCGATGCCCGGTGCAAGGCGATGTGTGATATCACTTCTAACCTTCGAACGTTTGTATACAGGTGCTTCAAAATCAAAATTAAAGACCCACTTTTGGAACCGTGGCTTTGATGCCACTTGCGATGGGGTAATGTCCTTAATAGGTGTCATCCACCTGGGATTCCAAACAACCACATCAGCTGTTTTCAGCGCTTCTGCGTCTCGCCGAATTACACAATTTGCTGAACAGTCAGGGACCACTCCATCACGGAACCCAGGCAGCCCGTACTGAGTGTTGGCAAAAATGATGACAGGTTTCGAGTCTAACAAACTGATGTTGCCATGTGGCCGGGGTGGGGTGGTTGGTCGGGCATGTGTTGTGGTGAATGTACCTCCTGGTGTTCGCTGGGCCGGGGTTGTAGTGATTTCGGCTGCTGGAGCTCGTGGGGAGGGTGTTGCAGTGTTTTGCGCTGCTGGAGCGTCTATTGGCGCTGATACACCCGAGGGCTTGTCGGTGCTTCCATTTGCTGGAGCTCGCTCGGCAGGCGGATCCGCCGGACCTGCCGAACCATTGCTCAAAGCTTGCTCGTCGAGTCGTGCCACCTCGGCCTGGGTCCCCTGTCGGATTGGGAAATAGGCCATGGCCGACAAGCCACGCCCGCTGCACACCAACAGTCCGGCCGCACCCAACAAGGCTGCCAGAGCAAGCGTGCTCAAGACCCGGGTGCCCGTCAGCGCCACCTCGGCGTCCTCAGCCTCGCAGTCGTCTGCACGAGACGGGACTGGCTCCTCTGCTCCGCAGCCCACCGGCCCATACGCGGGCATGCTCAAACAGAAAATGCATGAACGAGGGAACTCGATGGAAAAACGCTTGGGCCAGGTATTTCTCGAGCCAGAACGGTTACGGACTATACGAGAGGTTACTCCACGCTGAGGCTTGAAATCCGTCCACCGATTCGGGGACGCGATCCCGAGGATTACGCTAAGCGTTTGACGGCAGGAAATCTTCAAGCGGTGCAAATGGCCTCCTCGAGAAACACCAAAAACAAAAAAACATTAGCCTGACGAAGGACCCAACCATATGCAGGTGTGGGTACCGTAATTGTGATTCACGTTTTCGGTGGTGATCCCTATGAGGCAACGAACCGTGCTAGGGGTGTGCCGAAATGAGTGGCGTGGTACACAACGCGAACGAAAACGAACAACACAATGCGGACTGCGCCACGGGGACCTTCGGTGGAGCTCCATATGGGGTCACGAAACGCTGTACTTGGTGAGGGAGACGCATGCGGACTGCGCCACGGGGGCCTTCGGTGGAGCTCCCTATGGGGCCACGAAACGTGTCGGGTGTGCCGAAATGAGTGGCGGGGACGCATGCGGACTGTGCCACTGGGACCTTCGGCGGAGCTCCTATGGGGCCACGAAACGTGTGAGGGGTGTGCCGAAATGAATGGCGGGGACGCATGCGAACTGTGCCGCTGGGACCTTCGGCGCAGCTCCTATGGGGCCACGAAACGTTTGAGGGGTGTGCCGAAATGAGTGGCGGGGACGCATGCGAACTGTGCCACTGGGACCTTCGGCGGAGATCCTATGGGGCCACGCAACGTGTGAGGGGTGTGCCGACATGAGTGGAGGGGACGCATGCGGACTGTGCCGCTGGGACCTTCGGCGGAGATCCTATGGGGCCACGAAACGTGTGAGGGGTGTGCCGAAATGAGTGGCGGGGATGCATGCGAACTTTGCCATTGGGACCTTCGGCGGAGCTCCGATGGGGCCACGAAACGTGTGAGGGGTGTGCCGAAATGAGTGACAGGGACGCATGCGAACTGTGCCACTGCGGTGCCACCTTCGGCGGAGCTCCTACGAGGCCACGAAACGTGTGAGGGGTGTGCCGACATGAATGGCGGGGACGCATGCTAACTATGCCACTGGGACCTTCGGCGGAGCTCCGATGGGGCCACGAAACGTGTGAGGGGTGTGCCGAAATGAGTGGCGGGGACGCATGCGAACTGTGCCACTGGAACCTTCAGCGGAGCCCCGATGAGGCCACGAAACGTTTGAGGGGTGTGCCGAAATGAGTGGCGAGGACGCATGCGGACTGTGCCACTGGGACCTTCGGCGGAGATCCTATGGGGCCACGCAACGTGTGAGGGGTGTGCCGACATGAATGGCGGGGACGCATGCTAACTGTGCCGCTGGGACCTTCGGCGGAGCTCCTATGGGGCCACGAAACGTGTGAGGGATGTGCCGAAATGAGTGGCGGGGACGCATGCGGACTGTGCCGCTGGGACCTTCGGCGGAGATCCTATGGGGCCACGAAACGTGTGAGGGGTGTGCCGAAATGAGTGGCGGGGATGCATGCGAACTGTGCCATTGGGACCTTCGGCGGAGATCCTATGGGGCCACGCAACGTGTGAGGGGTGTGCCGACATGAGTGGCGGGGACGCATGCGGACTGTGCCGCTGGGACCTTCGGCGGAGATCCTATGGGGCCACGAAACGTGTGAGGGGTGTGCCGAAATGAGTGGCGGGGATGCATGCGAACTGTGCCATTGGGACCTTCGGCGGAGATCCTATGGGGCCACGAAAGGTTTGAGGGGTGTGCCGAAATGAGTGGCGGGGACGCATGCGAACTGTGCCACTGGGACCTTCGGCGGAGATCCTATGGGGCCACGAAACGTGTGAGGGGTGTGCCGAAATGAGTGGCGGGGACGCATGCGAACTGTACCACTGGGACCTTCGGCGGAGATCCTAATGGGGCACCGAAATGTGTGATGATGTTGATGATGCTGATGCTGATGATGATGATGATGATGATGATGATGACGACGACGACGACGACGACGACGATGATGATGATGATGTCTCTGGAGTGGACAGATTCCCCCAAAGCGGGCGCGCACGCTGGTCGGAAGGGAAGCGGGTGGCAGATCGCGGCAGGGAGGGAGGGTAGCAGTAGACTCAAGGACAGCCATGGTCGCGCTTCGCGCTCTGCGAAGCACAAATAGCTTCGCGCTCTCGCGCCGCCCCCCTGGGGGAGAAGGGGTGGACGAGGAGGAGGAGGACGAGGAGTCGCGAGCGCGAGCTGCGAATGCCTTCACGCCCTCGTGGCGGCCCTGGCAGACCTGGGCCTCGGCCCGTTAGCATGCGATGCGTTTTGAAAACCGAGAGCTCAAATCATTTCAGGACCCCTGAAACCCTCAAATCTGGGCTTCACGATGTGATCGGAACGAACGTTTTCGTTCGGGGGCCGGGGCCATCACAAATCGATCCGGCTCGAAACATGCCGCAGATCGATGGGGTCCAGGACTCCGTTCGTGATTGTCTGAGATGCTGCAATTTGTTCGCAACGTCGGAGCTCAAGGGTTTTTGGACCCTTGAAATGTCGGCGGCGAGCCCAGAGGGGAAGTGAGAGGGGGCAGGCCTTCTCAAAGGCGGCGGGGCTTCTGAGAAGCCCTCGCGCGTGTTAAGAAGCCTTGCAAGCCTTCTCAGCAGCGACAACTGGTTTCTCAAAGGCGCGACGGTTTCCGAGAAGTCTGCCGCCTTCTGAGAGGGCCTGCCCCCACTCACTTCCCCTCTGGGCTCGCCGGCGGTTCCTGGACCCTTGAAACGACGACGATGACGACGACGACGGCGACGACGACGACGTTTTTGTTTTCGTCTCGGCACGACGACGACGATGACGACGATGATGACGACGACAATGACGACCACGACGACGACGACGACGACGACGACGACGACGACGACGACGACGACGACGACGACGACGACGACGACGACGACTGCAGCGACGACGACGATGACGACGACGACGACGTCGACGACGGCGACGACGACGACGACGACGGCGACGACGACGACGACGGCGACGACGGCGGGCACCTCTGAAACTCCGATCCGCACGGCTGCACGCGTCTCGCGAAACCAGCCCGGCTGCTGGGCCCCGGCAGGTGCCAGGGGAGCGGTTCGCAGCAGAAGGAGGAGGAGGGATGGTCTTCTGGCGGCCTGGTGGCCTGGAAGCTGCCTCATGACCCAGAAACCCACCATGACGTCCGCACGATTGAGAAACTGGGAGGCCGAGTGCCTAATCCGCCACTGTGCCCCCTGGCACGCTGAGTCGTGGAAAAGTGGCAAGGTCTGGTAGAGTTTGGGTGATATTCTAAGGCTCCCCCCCTCTCATCACACTCACGTCATGCATCGCCCCCCCTTTCCATAATATTCGCGCCGCCGAGGCCACGATCCCTTGACAAAACGGTATGCGCCCCCAGGCCACGATCCTTACTGTGAAAACACTGGTGTGCGCTCCCGAAGACAAGATCCCTTGCAGAGAAAACAATGGATAAGCGCTTTCGAGGCCACGCTCCCCCAAAAAAGGATAGATCCGCGCCCACGAGCGTCAATGAATAATCAAGTGGCACACGTGCCATGGCTTTTGCACAGAAAGGAGGGGGAAGGAGGAGGAGGAGGAGGAGGAGGAGGTGAAGGAGGAGGACGGGAGAGGGATACAGGGTGCGAGAAATCGGAGAAGGAGAGCCCAACGAGGGCCGCAAGATGGGCTTGACAAGGCGAGCTCGAGTAGGCTCCACGGCCCCCCCCCCGAGAGATGGCCTCCAAGACTTTCAAGCATGCTCCCAGGAGGCCCCCAACAAACACCCAAAAAGTCTGCAGAAGATCCGAAGAACTCCCCAGGGGCCCGAAGCTGAGGCGGCGGGGGCACGCGGCAGGCGGGGGTTCCACTGGGCCGCTGGGGAACGCTGGGGAATGGGGGGATGGGGGGCGGGGACGGGGCGCGCCGCGCGACGCGAAGTATAATGGTCAGGGCGGAAAAGGGCACTGGGCGTAAGTTCCACTGGGCCGCTGGGGAAGGCTGAATAGGATGGGGGGCGGGGAGAGGGGCGCGGTGCGACGCGGAATGCAACGATCGGTGCGGAGGAGGCATTGGGCGGTGGTACCACTGGGCCGCTGGGGAACGCTGGGGCGGGGGGGAGGGTGGCGGGGGAGGGGGGGCGGCGGGGCGGGGCGCGAAGTGACATGGAATAACACGGTCGGGGTGGAGGGGTGGGGGCATTGGGCGGGGGTTCCACTGGGCCGCTGAACGCTGGGAAGGGGGGGGCGGGGAATAAGGGGAAAGGCGCGGCGGAACGCTGAGAAAGGATGGGGCAGCGGGGGGGCGGCGGGGAGGGGGAGGGCGCAGTGCGACGCGGAATCGATTGGTCGGGGCGGAACGGGCACTGGACAGAGGTTCCACTGGGCCGCTGGGGAACGCTGGGGAGGGGTAAAAGGGGGCGGGAACGCGGCGCGACGCGGAATAAAATGGTCGGGGCGGAAGGAGCGCTATGCAAGTTCCACTGGGCCGCTGGGGGACGCTGGGGAGGTGCAGGAGGGGGGTGGTGAGGTGGGGGGCGAGGTGCGACGCGGAATAAACTTGTCGGGGCGGAGGGGGAACTGGGTGAAGGTTTCACTGGGCCGGTGGAGAACGCTGGGAAGGGGTTGGGGGGCGGGGAGGAGGGGGTGTGCGGTGCGACGCGGAATAAAATGGTCGGGGCGGAGGGGCATTGGGCGGAGTTTCCATTAGGCCGCTGGGGAACGCTGGGGAGGGGTAGGAGAGACGCGGAGAGGTGGGGGTGCGGTGCGACGCGGACTTAAATAGTCGGAGCTCTAAACACCCCGTGCAAGAGAATAAGATAACCGGGGCAGAGGGCCACGGGACGGGCGCCCACTGGGGCGTTGGGGACGCGGAGGGGAGGGGGGAGGTGGTGCGCGTCGCGACGCGGAATAGAATGCTCGGGGCGGAGGGGGCACTGGGCGGAGATCCCACTGGGG